TGATGAATATAGCGGCGTGTTGCCCAACATATATTGCTTTTTCTGCAGGTTTAGACTTTAGGGTGAACCTCCCTCAAATAGAGGGGATGCTGTCAATTTTTTTTTTCAGGTGCTACAGGTTTCCGGCGGCTAACCGGCGGTTTGGCCGCCGGAAACGACGATACCGGACGGGTAAGATATAGCCGCCGGTGTTATTATTAAACCGCCGGGGAAAAGTTGGAGAGAAAGGTTTCTGAAGGAAGAGATGATATGAGGACACATGATGAAATCTGAGTATTTCTATATTCTAATTTGAATTATTGTCTTTTTGATAAAAATAAAAAGCTCAATTTTGTCCAATACAAAATTTTAAAATATTTTAATATTTGATTAATATAAAATTTGAGCTTTTCATTTAAACCAAATTAAAATAAAACTTTATCCAATCATTTTAAATTATAGTTTAAATAAATATTTTTATATTTTATTATATCTTACAAATTATATATATATATATATATATATATATATATCAAAGATTTTATTAAAAAAGTGATAAACTCTTCTAATTTTTTTTTTTTTTACATTTTGCAAAACATCTAAAATCAATATTGCATGTATAATTAAGAAATTACACAAATAATTACATTAACATATAACTTGTTAATTAATTAATTATTTATTTCTTCATTACTCTATTTGAATTCAACTTTGAAATTTGGATATGCAATTTTGGTCTCTATTTATCATCCTATTTTATAATCAATAGTAGATCTCACATATAAATGAATATTAATCATTTTCAAGAAAATTCATGTATTATATTTGAATTGTTCCATGATTATATTTAGACATGGTGGATTATTACCATGTCATGTCATGTGATATATGATGTTGACTATATGTAATGATGAGTATGATAATATGAAAGCATAGCAAGGTAGGATCCAAAGTAGCATGTGAAATGTTGCTCCATTATAATGATATTTACTACAGCCCTTTGAATGAAAATAAAACAAAGTGCATGCTAAGTTGCTTAAATGGATTCTTTGATGAGCTAGTGTCTTTAACATTTTCAATGTTTAGATTGTATTGATTTAGCCTATTTTCTTATGTATGTTAAGTTTTAAATACTAGTTGAGTAGTTGTCTTAATGTGCTAACATATATAATTTCAAAAACAGAAGTTTTACCAGATAAAAAATATACAAAATAGCAACTAAAATAAATATTAATTAAACTAAGTGAGCCTACTTCAGTGAGCAGATGAGGGTTTCATATTTTATCTCTCGCCGCTATTACAACAGTTAGAAGAGTTTCTAAATAGAGAAGAAACAAGAGATAAAAATTATTGACTACTCTCTATTTTTTTTTTCTTAGAGTTTTTGGTGTTACAAATTTGTTCTCATGTTCTTTAACTTTCTCTTAAGAAAAAAAAAGGCTAAATTTAGTGAGGTCTTCTTCATTCCCTCTTTATCTGCTTTATAAAAAAAGATTGTCCTATTTGTTATACTCAAATGTATACTCAATTTAATTTATAAATAAATTACATGCATCTCCTTACTCTATGAATATAGGTCAATCTTGATTGAACCAGATAAGTTTTAGTAATTGTGTCTATATTTATCTTTTATTATTTTCATTTCATATGTTAATATACAGTGCTAATTTTATATATTATTTGTTAATTTGATTGATATTTTCTATTCTCCAAAAGAGAATACTTTTGACACTATCAGTGCATAAGACTTGCATCAAAGCATTGTGAGTTGAATCTAGGAGAGAACATTATCAAAGCATTCTGCTAACACTGCAAAATATGATTTTAATAAATTAGGGCAACAATAATTTAGCATCTAAAAGATGAAGATGAGAGTATTTTTTACCTAATAAGGATTGGTTTAAAACTTCAAAGAATGGGAATTTTTTAATTGGGCAAATGATGGGAACAAAGAGATGAATCATAAAGCCTTTGTTTTAATAATTATTGGTTTGGGAGAAGCAGTTCTTTGGAATGTGTTAGAGATATGATAAAAGTTGAAATCTCTCATGATGATGAATTTAGTTTTCAATTATATCTATTTGAATATATAAAAATTCACATTTTGGATGAAAGTCTAAGTATCATTGAAAGGATATTTGTTTTCCTACAACAAGATATTTTTGAATTAAACAAATCAGATGTAAAGATTAAATAGGAATTTAAGGCTTCAACCATGTTATGCTCTCTCCATCCATCTATAAGCACATTAGGTCACTGATTTTTATATGAGAAGGAAAGTATTTTTACACAAGATATAAACTCTAACCTTCTATCAAATAGGTTGAGAAGGAAGGTGCAAGGTGAAAACCCGTCAAATGGCTTATTTGTAAGCAAATGTGGAACCTAGAAAAACTACGAAAGAAAAAATAATATCAAAATTAGAGTCCAAAAAACATAATGAAGTTAAAATAAAAAGCTTAAATATTAGAATTAAGAATATATATTATGATAAAAAATATCAAAGGAAAAGATAGCTAATATTGAAGACGAATCTAGTTATGAGGCAAAGTTATTGATGAAAGAGTTGAAATATGGATTTAATTTAATTGATGGTAACAAATTATTTTAATTCTTCAGTTGAAGATTGGCCCTTAATATTGGATGTTCATATCATGTTGTTTATCATAGAGATTAGTTTAGCTCTTATAGATTTATTATGATGAAAATGCTCTTATAGAAAAAAGACGTGATCTATGAGATTATTGGGACATAAACAATTAATAGTAAAATATGTAGTTGATCAATTAAATGTGTAAGCTTTGAACAAGTATCATATTTCTTTAAGATGTTTAGATTTTAATGGGTGCAAGTTTAGTGATGCAGGTTGAGTTTTACATATTTTAGATATGTCATGATTTCTATGAAGCAAAATAAAATTAGCATTTTCTTTTTTTCCTTAAATTTAGTGTAATGATATGTGATGCATTAAATTTGTTTACTTAATTAATTTGATTAAATTAGTACATATGAGAATTGGGCATATGTTAAAGTGGGAGCATATTAGAGCTTAGTTAGGGAGGTTTAGATTTTGGTAAACAGAATAGACTTATAGAGTTCTATGAACATTACATTCTAGTTAAGAAACATAGATTAATGTTTTTGATATTGTTAATGGGAGAAAGGGTACTCTACACTATATTGTCGATCATATTCCTTTTGAATAATGGGGTCTTGATGATTCATGTAAAAAAATTGGCATTAGCTTACTTTCATAAATGATTTCTCAAACAGAAGTGTAAAGGGATATATGTTTTAGTGTATTGATACTAAGTCACCTAAACTCTTGGTCAATAGGGATGAAAAATTAGTTGAATTGGAATGCTTTAATAAATGTTAGTGC